AAGAGGTCTCAAAGAGGGGAAAAAAAAAAACCACCATACAAAACCAAACGAAAACCACATACAAACAGCGGATAATTGGTATGAAGAGGTCTCAAAGAGGAAAAAAAAAAACAAAAACCACACAAAACCAAACGAAAACAACATACAAACAGCATTTTTCTGCAGAGCACACAGTGCAGAGGTCCATGGCAGCTCACCAATTCATATAGCTCAAGCTTTGAGAGACCCCAATTAAAATAACTGAAGACTCACATGATGTTAAATATATCTACAGCGTGAATTTTCATTGCCAAGATAGAATAGGTTTTGCCACAACAAGTGTAAACGTTTCTGTACTCTAGCTGCCATGTTGGACTGATGAGGAGTTGCTCTGATCTACTCAATGATCTTCACTGGCGAACCCTAACCCTGAATATAATCCGATTACACAGGGAGGTTACTGTTCCCTATCGGTTGCAAGCAGGGAATCCGTACACTCACATTCCTGCATACAAGAATGAAAAAAAATAATAATAATAAAAAGAAAAATCAGTAGTTTTGCAGCAGCTTATTTCAGAGTAACAACATGGCATGTAAACCAGCAGTGGAGGTCCGAGCAAGACTCAGTCCTGACACTTCGTTACCAATCCATTTGTCCCTTGCACCAGGCAAGGCTGAGGAGTTCAAGAAGCAAAGAACAGGAAAAGGGTTTTTAAATGTTTGGGCAATAGATTTGTCCTGAGCAAAATACACTTGCTTCCTCTGCAAGCACAACTCCCATAGACACAAAAATACGTTTGAAGTTTTTTTTTTTACCTCCTGTATTCAGCAGTGTGTTTAACCTTGGAGTTGTCAAGCTCCATCATGAATAATGAGCCATGACAACACTCCAAGTGATCCTTGGAGAACAGACCAATTTTTACTATATGCTATGCAAGGCAAAACACTGTTATCATATTCCCATGGTACTGTACCTGCTTTGAAAATATACAGTAATGTGGCCATCAAGAGGAGACCACAAGTAAATACAGAAAAAATAAGCTACTTCCTGATATTTCATCGCCTACAAACACAGAACAAGCAATAAAACATGTTACATCCTAATGGCTCCTATTTGAAATTAAACCAGGACCGAGAAGGAGATTTGTCTTGCTCAATATGCCTTTCACAAAAATATTTCACAGCCGAGGAACATCAGTGTTTGAAACAACCCACAGTGGCTACAATATGAAGAGAGCGCAGCCTGCAGCTCTCGCAGCAGCATTGTGCTTGGTGACATCTCACAGATCAGCACCAACGCAGGACAGGAGGGCAGCTTCTGCCCCAGGCAGCCTCCTGATGCTCTCAGAACCACCATAACTGGTCCCTGTACGCATGGTACTGCCAGAAAGTATAAGAAGAAACTGTAGTTGCTTGAATGACTGATTGAAGCTCCTCTAGACCAACATCCTAACCATGGCAAGGTAGGTCCTTAAGGCGACACAGGTAAACAAGCAATGGCAAAAGCCATTTCTGCTGTGCGCTTCCCAAGCTCAAGAGGTGGACAAAGACAGAACAAATAGATTCATCTAAAGAAAGGAAAAGCTAGGAAGAAGGAAGCTGAAGATTTAAACAGGTATTCACTCCTCTCCTGAACAACAACGGAGGGTTGTGGTTCCAAATCTCCCTTTTTAAAAAAAAAAAGAATCATTACCTGTTCAGGAAATAAATGCCAATTCATGAACCTGGAAAACACACATGTTCTCTAACAGACGCAAGCAGCTGTTTTGTGTTTCCGCAAAGGGGGAAAAACAAATATATCCTTATCGCTGACCTGTTTGCAACAAGGTATTTGTTCATAGCTTTGAAGTAGGAAAAACTTGCCTTTACTTCTGTGCAGTTTCCTGGTCTCGTTGCCGCAACCAACACCACAGCGCATCACTTCCCCCTCTGTGGAGGGGTAGCACTTTACTCACACTTCAGTTTCAAAAGTTAATATAAACTATGGGACCTTTCCAAAAGCTCTGGAGAGCAGGAAAGCAGCAACGTCAGAAAGGAGATGCTTGCCCTTCCTCAAGCTGCTAAGTTCACAGTGTCAGACAGCAGAAACTAGCCCTGAGCACTTTGAGGAGTTTTAAGTGCTAACACATCTCCTTCCCACTGAATTGCCCTTAAAAACCGAGTCCTCTCCTGCAACACTGGATGACTCTTAGAGAGCCAAAGTCAGCAAATCTCTTGAGTTCCTGTCTATGGCTGAAGTTGGAGAAGAGCCTCTACCACTGAAGCGATAACATAGTTACACATGATAATGTATTTACTGACAATTTCCTTTTCCATTCAGGGGTATAGTCACCCATAGCTCTCCTCCACCTGCTCCCCTTCCCCTCTCCCACATACATTTTGCAGCTACCCACATCACACTGTATCTCCCCTTCCCCAAATCAGCGAGACCTGTGCTACCACCCCACGCAGCATTACCACCATCTCTGGTTCAAAACAGTTCTGCTCTTAACAGAGGACTCGCTCTATACTCAAAGAAGTCCCCCCAATTACAGGGACAGTAATTTTCTTTTTAGTATTATAGTTAAAACGCCCTCAGCCCTCCGCATATGCTGTCTCAGTTTCCCCGACTTCCTGATAATATATTTCCATTTATGCCCCACATCACAGCTCTGCACATTCAGCAATTCCATTGCCCTGCTAGCAATATTCAGCAATAAGATCCCTTTAAAGACGGTTAATTACAGATTTCACTTGAACAAAAATTGGTACTGGGCCAATCTGTAAGCTCTTTAATAAGCTTTCAAACTTCTCTTCGCACCCGGCAAGACTTTGTTCTCCAGCAGCAGCAGCGACGTAGCTCTAAAAGCAAAGGTGGAAAGCTTGCTGCTGCAAGAGGAGGAGGGAAGGTCATAGCTCAAATTCTTCTTGCAGCACTGCACCTTCTCCATGCGAGTCTTTCCCTGGAGATAATACTGCCCCTGTTGCACAGAAGAAAAACTAAGGAAGCCAGTTCAGATATGACAAAAAAACCAAAAAGTAGTCACCACAAAAAAAAAAGTTGACAGTTGTATCTGAGGAGGAACAAAGACCAGTATGACAGAAAGTGGGTCAAGGACTCAAAAATTAGGAACAATTAACAACGCATGGTCATGCACACGCATGGAGTGTGGCATTTTCCAAGAACACTTGTGTGAAGATGGGAGTTCCAGATTTCAAAGGGATGGAGGAACCCAATGCAAAGTCTCTCAAGCACCTCAGGATCTAGCTCCATAACAGAACAAATGTTTTCTGCCTACATATGCCAGACTTAGCACAGAAAACAGTGATCCCACCTGTGGATGCTCCTCTCCACCTTTGTACTGATGCCACTTCTGTTCTCTGTAAGCTGTGCCCAGAACACCTGGTGAAATCACATTTCGGCCAAACCATTCTTCTGAGGGGAATTGATGCAAGGCTCTGCAAAACACCCCCCGTGCTACCTGCCTGATAACTAGGGTGGAACCTGAAGAGAGTAATTGGTAAAATGATGGTCAACAGAAAGATGGTCCTGTTTTGAAGATACAAGATTAGCACCCAGGAAAACTGCACAAGAGCTTTCTGTGCGATTTAGACAAGTCATCAATTTTCCACTTTGGTCAACAACTACACGGCATCACATGCAGATGTCACACCCAATACACTAAAATACTGCTGTCAGAGTCGCTGAGTGCCCAGAAAATCCCAGCTGGAATCTGTGGGAACCACGCACGCTAAGTACACAGCTGTCGGGAAGTCTCCAACTGGGAACTCAACCCACAGGCACTTGAAAAAGAAGAGTTATGAGTGTTACACATGTAAAACATACACATCAATAATGTGTATCTATTTGACAGAGATTAAACCCATGAATATCTACAACATCCTCAGCTTTTAACATACCTAAAGGTTTTCCCTACTGGGACATGCCACACTAAAAGAATGACTTGTGACAGTAGCAGACTTTTCTCCTATATATAGGCCAGCCTTTAAGAGGCCAACAGAACCATGCTTACAAAAGGACTACACACCAACTCCCAAGACACTATTAAAACATATTTTAAGCGTCTTGGGGGACACCTTTGGGGGCAGGGAAACACACTCATGGTACAACCATAAAGCTTCACACATTAATTTTGAAAGGTAAACCACAAGTCTGACCACTCCCCAATCCCTAAAAGCTGAGAATAAAAAAGTGGCAGGAAAGGAAATACCTTTTTCTAGCCTTATTCTCTGAAGTACCCACACAGATTTTACTGAAACATTTGCAGGACTTCCCACCTGAAGACAGATTTAGCAAGACGAATTTAATCTAGAACCTCAAGACTATCAAAATACGAGTACCTGAACACAGACTACCATAACAGGAAACCTTAAGAAACCCAAGATGCATGTTAATAGATGCTCTAATTATTAATGTGCACACACACAGAGCTTATCAGAAGTGCCAAGGCATTTCAAAGGAAAAGCACTATTCAAATACAGTTGCTGGCAAATATCTATATCACCACCATATTCTCTCGCTGGTTTTGACTCAACTCGGTGGACATCAAGTTAATCCCACAGGACAGTATCATTCACTTTTATAATAGCTACTGACCTCATTTCTGTGTTTGAGCCCTGCTGTAGTGTCATGACTAAATGTGGCAAGCAACAAATCATGCTGTCAGCAGCCGGTGCCTGTCCTTTCTCCTTTCAAAGCTTTCATTCATTTCTGCATTTTTTAAAGACATGCTGCTTCAAAACAGCTGATCCAGATGGTGGATATTTGGATTTCAACCTTCCCACATGGTGATGTGGCTCAAGAAAATAAAAACTGTCGCTACCTGCTGCTGACCTACTTCTTTCTTTAATTTGTTTCCTGCCATACAAGAGAATAAACGGCACAGTTCATTGAACTAGTCCTCCACACCTACCCACCGCTATGTAGCGAATATAAAATAAGATCAACAAGGAAGGAGGAGGAAGGTTAAAAAAAAAAATGCAGCATGATCCAGTGGGCGGTAGTGGGGAGCAACTCTCACCTCTATCATAGTCATCCTCCTCTATTGCTTTTTCCTGAAGCCTCTGAAGCCGTGAGATCAAGGATTTTATCTATGCAAAGAGAAAATAGTTAATTATGAAGAAGTTGCATTTAAAAATATTTAGACTATTAACCACTACATAAATTTATTGGATTACTACATTGCTAGAACAGCCCAATTTTGAGAGTTAAGCCCAACATTTGTTAAGTGGACAGACCTACTTGGAATTGAACCGCAGCTACTTGAGCCAAGCATGGCTTTAATCCAAACACATACAGAGAACAACAAACAGTATTTCTTGAAAAGTAAAAGAGATCATGTGACCATAGGATATTTTTCACCCTCTGAATAAATCAAAGTAAGGATTATTAGAGGATTCTGTCAGCATGACATCTACTTCTGATCACATTGTACTCAACAGTGTGTTCTTGAGCCCATTCTAACAATTTTTTGCCTATATGAGTTTTGTACAGAACAAATCCAGAATTTCCACATGCAAACCACATTTTCTTCTACAAGTAAAAAGAGAAATATAGTATGAAGGTTTTGGAACAGGGATACTCAATGTTACGGCACAGAAAATCATGTTCATATGCAGCCAGTGAAAATATAATTTAGGCTCATCTATATAACACTGATGTTTGCATTTTCAGAAATGGTCACACTGCATATGCTAGATGGGGAAAAAAGGCAAAACACCAAAAATAGGTATGCCACATACAAGGTGCCCTTTCACACCCAAAAAGAAACTCTTACCATAAAAAAGTTTTATTTCAAAAGTTACTGCTTTTCTTTGTTATAACACAAAGGGTTTGGACCAAAGTTCTACATTTACTAAAAAATTTGTAAGGCTAAGTGTGCAAAGGCCATTACAAGTTTTTACTGTTAGAACAATTTGGTTAGAAGGTAGGCAGTCCTCTCCTCATTGCCATGCCAGCCACAGTCTAACATGGCTACAGTTACAAGACTGAAAAGTGTTTTCTTATTAAATTTATACATGACTGGTATGTACCACACAAGTCATTATCAGCACTGAAAAAGGTAAGCCTAGAAAAAGCAGCAGCATATATTCTCATAGTCCAAAGCCTGACGGTGCTTGCAAAAGCATTTTCCAACACGAGAAAATCCATACTTTAGACATTATGCATTTACAAAAGATTTTGGTCCTCCCTGAACCTCTTAAGTATTTAAATCCCTGTATTTAAACTCTAAATTGCATAAAGAAAATTAGGTACAGCCAGTCAACAACTTAATAGAAACACTCAGTTATCATGACTATACCATCAACACATAAATTAGGCAAGACATTTAAATTAATTGTATTCCTTCTTAAATATGGTATGTGAAAGTGGACTAGTCAGAAAAGAACTATAAAAAATAAAGCCAGAAAAGAATCAAAAAAACCCCACTTGATTAATAATAGGCTATAGGATGTCCCAGAGGAAAAACAAAACCACATAAAAACCAACATTGTATAGACTCCCTTTTCCTCAAGGCTTTATTTTTCGTATCCTGAATCTCCAATCTTTTTTCTCTCCGAGGCTGGTGAGGAATGTGCAACATATTGAAGGGAGGAGCTCCGAATTCTCACCATAAATTATTTTCTGTATTTTATGCCATACTTTTGATAGAGTTTTAAAGAAGCCTGCAGTAGGAATGATTCAAATGACACTTTTTTCATATATATGATGTATAACAACCATCTATACTGAGAGTTCAGCTTCAGCGCCGTTTGCAGTGTTTATTCCATCATGTGCTCACAGTGGCAGGTCATTTAAAGTCGGCGTGGGTACCACAGCACAGGCATGCCCAACGGCAAACTGACTGATGCTGTCACAGTAAAGTGCTTTCTATTTGCAGGCTGGTAAGATGTTTGGAGCTCAACTAATCAAAGAGCTGCTTCACTGTGGCATGTCCTGTATCTGTGCTGTGTGATGACCACTGTTTCGTTTTTTTAAAAGTACAGAAAAAGCATAATTTTAACAACTTTTGTATTGTCTCCTTTGCTTGACTACAGTTGCCTTTGTTCCCTTCTGAAAAGTTTGAGACTTTCTCATTATCATTACAAGAGGAAGGTGCTTCAAATTAAACATACACGACTGGCTAACCAAGGGCAAAGACATTTAAGGGCACAAATCCCCAATTCTCCATTCAATGAATTAACGAATCCAGAAATTAAAGATAGCAATGTTTCTTTTGTACCTATCAAATAAGCATACTGAAAAGACAGAAGAATAATTTCCTATTTTGATTATGTTACATATTGCCAAATTTGCAGAGAACTAATTTCCCAAACCATCCCAGACTATGGGCACATTGTCATTCCAGGCACGAAGCCAAAGAAACTGCTCCATATCGATGTGTGCAAAGTCTGTAAACAAGAGAATCTACTTTGAGTTCTACATGTGTTCTCTATGAAAAGTAAGTATTAGAGAACATCATAAGTGCAGGTCAGATGTCATGGAGAGTATAGCAAGAATAAAAGCTTCTCGACCTCCTGTCTGACCCAGCCAGCAGGATTGTGCAAAGCCTCTCCAGAGCAGGTTGTTTCACCAGGCCTAAAGACAATATAGGGCATCTCAGCACATATCTCTGAGCTGAGAAGTCACAAGAACCTTGGTTTCTCAAAGGCATCTGAGAAACTCAGGGCACTAGGGTGACAATAAAACACAACCCCCCCCAAAAAAAAAGAAAAAAAAAAAACAAAAAACCACCCACCACACCAGAAGAAAATCCACCCTGCACTTTAGCGCACCTTGAACAAATTTGTGAAATCCATCGTGTCCACATTAATCTCTGGATCACTGCTTCCTGCATGCACAATAAAGCCAATATTTGGCATCTTATTGTAGGTAAACTCAGAGTGGTTTCCCTCCGATGCTCACCACACCAGCCCAAAAACTATGTAACAAAACATAACTGATTCTTCAAGTTTCCTCACCCCTCTCCCACAAAGAACACAGAGACTGCCTGTATATGTGGTAGGTATACATGTCGGTATACACATGTACAAAAAGACAGACTCCTGACTCAACAGCCCAGTACTGCTCTGGGGTGGATTTGAAAAAAGGCTCAATTGCCATTTGGAGTTAGAGCAGGGACTTGACTCCCATTTTTCTTCGTGCAGGGAGAGTACCCATCTATTAGATTACAGGTTACTCTCATAAAGGTACCTCACTCCAAGAAATCTTTGGCTAAGCTTACACATCTCCAATTACAAAGTTTAGCGTTGTTAAATCATGGTGCTTCAAGCAAAGAGTTCTTATCACCCCAAAGTTTTGTACCACAATATACTCCAAGCTGCAGACAAAATAACCACCTGTGAAAGAAAATGATACTTGTTGAATTCAGAAACTGAGGTGTGACACATTAGAAACGAGAGGATCACAGTTTCAGTAGAACATAGGAATAGGGTACTGCCACAACATCACCTTTTTTTTTAAGAATCAAAAAGAAAATGAAACCTGTTCTCTCACTTTCATCATGCAGAGTGTTACTGTAGACCTCTATGAACAAATGCTGCAAAAGCCATGAATATCCCAACTACTACATCAACTTTGACTTTGGCATTATAAATACAAATGTACTGAGGGCCAGGGGAAGGAATCAAAGATGCAGTGGGATTACTAACCTTTAATGTACTGCGGTTTCCAAGCAGGCAGTCCTGTAGCACTGGTTCATACCTTTTCATCAAAGTATCCCAGTTATGGTCACTAACAGTAAAGCTACTTTCATAGCCTGAGGTGACAGAAGAGCCAGCAGATGCTGCGTCCGAGGAATCTGTAGAATATGAAAACGTTGCATCTGTATCCGAGAGAGAGACAGTCTCACAGTCCTGTAGTTTATCATTTGCTGCGGTCTCACTTTCATACTCCAAATCCTCACTGGGCCTGGAGAAGCAAGGCAAGGCTCCCAGGTGCTCACAAGTTTGTACCATCTCTTCTGACCTCTGCAGATTTCCTGTCATGCTGGGATGCAGAACATATTCAGCCTCCTCAATGGCTGACTTGCCTTCAGCATCGCTTACTCCAGAGGCCGAGTTCAGGGAGAGCTGTATGAAGCTGAAACTTGAACGAAAGCTATCGTGTGCACCAACAGAACGAAAAATATCATCTTTGTTTTGATATTCACAGTTGTTATTCACTTCTGACCGATCCAAAGCATACATGTTTGGGGGCTTGCTTACTTTGGCGCCATGATTTTTCTGCTGTGTACAGCATACAGTAGAAACATCTCCCTTGCTTGTTGCTGCAACATTGTAAACCTCTATCACTGTGTTTTCTGACTGTGGACTCTTGCAACATGGAAGACTTTTGCAGTGTCCCGGCATATTTCCAGCGGTGGTCAATGTTGTTACCCCATTCGCAGGAACTACAGCACTACTCGCTGCACTATAGCGTACAAATTCAAAGTTATTTTGGCACCGTCTGCATAAAGAGCACTTCTCAAAGTTTCCACAATGTTCCCTGTCATGTTTGAGCTCTTCTGGGCTGAACGGTTTGCAGGCACCCAGGGACTGAAACTCTATCTGTCGCTGAGCTTCTGGCCTCATATACCCAGGTCTTTTTGCCAGTTTCTTTTTACGAAGAGAGCCTGCAGGCATTAAGTGCTCCTGACCATCTGGGAGAGGGGGGAAGAAAAGAAAAAAAAAAAGTCATTAAAGTGTTTCTGCAGTTTTCTAGGCTTAACATATTGTAGCATCTGAAAATAACTGTTTCAGCAATTTCAAACAGGGCATCACTTTCCATTTCAACAAAGACACTGACCATACTGCAGATAAAGGAGGAAAGGTGTTGCCAGAGAACACTGTGAGTATTCATTTACTTTCTAAAGAGTTTGCACCTGCTTTTAAGTGAACTCACTATGATGAATCACATCATCTTCCCTTTTCATAGCACCTCTCTGTGCTTTTTCATTCTCAATTTGCTTGGCAGCACACTAAAGCACAGACCTTAGTTCAAGTCTCTCTGATCCAGAATAATTTTCAGACTTAAAAGCGCATCTAGGATAAGACTAAATCTGCATCAAAAAGATGAGAACCATACTCACAAAGAAGTCTTGTGCATAACCTGCTGTTGCTCGTGTCCAGTTTCTTGTGTTAATATCTGTGTTTTATTAGCAAAAGCAAGTGATTCAGCCTCTGCTTCCAGAACAGATGCAACTGTAACACTCCCTGGCTGCAGATGTCATGTCTAATGAGATATAAGTTGTCATTTAGATTTACTTTACTACCTATTGTCCAAAATGTAAAGTTTTGCACGCGGGACTATCAGTCCTAGAAAACTAATGCCACCATACACTTGGTAACATTAACGCAGTATTAATATAATTAAGAAAAAGCCTCTGCTCAATAGCTGTATTTCCCCTTATACGCCTTACTTACACAGATGAAAAGATAAATTTGCTATTTGCAAGCAGAATAGAAGGAACCAAGATAAAAACACAACGAACAGTAAAAGTGGGAGATCAGAATGTGGTACCTTGTCTTTGTTTTCTCTACATTTGTATTAAAAAAAATTATGGGTGAAAGATTATGTGGTGACTACTTTCAGTTTCTTATGGATTTACTGCTAGTCAAAAGGTATTCCATTCATCTGCCCTGCACACAATCAATGGGAATACAAAATGGATGATAGTGCAAAGCTTGTAACACAAACACATATTGACCGGACCTATTTGCCAGAATCGCCCTTCAAAGGGATGTAGTGACTGGCTGAATTATGCCCTCGATTAGCTGCCGTCTAATTCTGAAGCAGAATCAATTGCTAGAATCTCAGGTGTTAGGAATATTTCTATCACCCCCACAGAGCTCTTCCAAAAACACAAGTTGCAGATCATTTTTTTTCCTTACATGCAGTATATTTAATATTCATCTCTATTCACAACCCTTTGTCAATTTTTACATCAATAGATGTGCACATAACCTAAACTCCTCAGCAACTCCTAACACGGGTCTCGTACACACCTCACTACAATGACATCCTACACAAAAACTTAAAGCATTAGACCTGAAACTTCCCATGAGACTTTTCCCAAAGTTCACTACACTCTCTCCAAATAACCTTCAACAAAAGCAATTTATACATTTTCCACATACTGGAATAGTGGCATATCTCGCCATGGGACCGCAGTTAAGTTTCTGTATTCTGCTTCCTATCACCATAAATTAGAATACCCCAGCTGTCTCTTATATTCTCTTTTGTCAGAGGAAGAGCATCACAGAAATCAGAAATAAAAAAGGTCAGAGTCCATCAGCCTGTCTACTCTAAAAAGATAGTGAAATGCTGTACTGGGAGTAATTTAATAGAAGTCTTAACAAACAGGAACCGCTTTTGGAGTAAGGGAACAAAAATCGAACAAAATGTTCTTTAGAATTAAATTCTTTTAGTTTATATACAAAATAACAGCCTAAATTTGCCTTCAGCAGAAGAAGTCAGCCATGCAGAAAAAAGTCCTTCTACGACTGGATATACTTTATCGCCATTTACAAAGGCTAGTCACAGGCCTCGTCTGTAAAAATGGAAAAGGTTCTTTTGTTTAATTAAAATCAGTTTAAAATTGATCTCACTAGATCACTATAAATTTCTAAAGCAGACAGATAATTACAGCTGTTTAAACACCAAATTTAAACCAAGCTAATGTAGTAAGGTTTAAATTGGCCAAAGTGTTAGATATTTGCACCAAGCAAACTGGATGCAATTCTAAAAGTTATTGGAGCCCAAGTAGTACAATTCCAGTATCCTGAACTAACCCCCCCCAAAAGCCTCTCTGTGCTCCCCCCAATGTTTGGGGGTAACCCTCTAGACAGGTTTACCATCCAGCTCCTTTATGGACTCCAGGCCTGGCTCCTGGCAAGTCCTCTTGCCTGTGTGCCATTTACCCTTTCACCATGGCCCTTTACTGAACATTAGAATAATTTCAGTTGTTTATCATCACACATCTGAAACTTACTTAGAGAGACTTCGTTCTTCTGCATAGCCTTCCACCCATAGCTTGCTTCGTCTGCACATCAGATACAGAAACTACACTGAACCAGTTCAGCTAGCTTGTTTTAAAAAAAAAAAAATTTAAAAAAAGAGACAGGCCTCAAGTTTTTTCTTACAATTCCCTCAGTTTCAAGCACGTCAAATAACTGATGGCAATTAACTACAAGACCATCAAAACGGTAGCTAGGAACACCGTGGAATAACTGAAGGTAATTAAAGAACCCCTACATCATAGTGTGTCATGTACTGTACAAGGCATGCACTTCGAAAAACAGAAAAGTCACAAATGGAAGAAAAGCCTTTCAATTGTAATATTACAAATCAACTTTTTTAAAAAAATTATGTTACGATCCCAGAAGGTGATGCAATGTATACTCTATTGTCAGATTATATACAAATTGCTTCAAATCCAAATTATGAAAGCCCAGAAATAACTTAACAGCTCTTTCACCATAACAAACTTTCCTGATCACCAACATTTCATAAAAACGAGCAACTCAGAGCCACAGCAAAGGAGTGGGAAGAAAAAAAAAGTCTATTGCTGTAAAGCAAGGCATGACCAGCAATGCTGCTCACATCTTAGCTGCACCAGCAAGATGAGACAGGGAGAGGTGAAGCCAAAGAGCATTTCCCACTGATGGAAAGTGCACATTCTCTTGTGCCCAGCCTGAAGCTGAAGGACAGCAGAAGAGTCATCTAATTTATTTTAGATAATCAGTCTTTGTTTTCAGCCACAGAAGTGGCAGTTCATTTTTTTGGATCAAATGCTCTAATAGCATCTATGGACAGATAGATGTAACTACCATACATTTTTGTGAAGTCCACTAGAATTTTACAGATCAGTACAGAAACTTGGAAGTAATTACCTCCCCATCCCTGCTTTAAACGCATCATGCAGAATGCTTGTCAGCTCATTAAAGTTCTCCCTGAAAGTAACTCAGAAATTATATATGCAGTTTTAAAGACAGCTCAACTACCTGAATACACCTACATTACATACAGTTGAGTTTTAGTAGAATAACAAATTCACCTTCACAGCATTTGTGGGTGGCAACTGTGGTGTGGAGGAAAAGACACTTGGTTATATTCAAAGCCAACTATGAAAGCACTGTTCCAAGCTATTTCTGTAGTGCTGCTTCTGTTAAGGAAGCCTTAAACACCTGCATTAAACTGTATACAAAGTGAGACAAAAATATTTATTATTTACAAACACAGAGACACACAAATGTTTAACCCATCAGTAACAAAAATGAACCATTCTCAGGGATTAATGAATCCGACATGACAATAACCATTACTGTTCAGTTCCTATGTCATAAAAATATGTAAAATGTTGCAGGTCCCTAATCAGTTATAATTTGACTCATTTGACTCAAAGATACCACTAAATATTCAAAATAAGATATCACTGATCTCAACACAGCCTATATGAAAACAAATCAGTACCCTCACTTTACACAAGTAAGCTTTCAAAGAATGTCACTTTTGAATAAAGATTTTTATAACTCTTAAAATGCAAAGGTCTCATTTAGCTTTTTCATCTCACTTATTGAATGTTAACTATAGTCTGATTTAGCTAGCATTTTATAAAGTGATCTAGAGAAGACAAGCAATGCTTGAGCTACATTATATTTGATACCACTTATAAATTATTTCCTCACCAAGGGTTCCTGTGATTTCTAAGGTCACAGCCCGGGTTCAGTTAGCCAACTGTTAAATTTCCACAACATCACACATAAAATATCCTCTGAAGTCATGAAATGGATGTTAGTTTCTATTCTTCATTAAAAAAACCACTTCAAAGAGTTGTGCATTTTAGAAGCTAGAGTGGTTTTCCTTAGCCAGTGTTTAAATAATTGTATTTTTATTGACACACTCCCATAATGTGCATGTCATTGAGTTGTTACATTTGAGCCACTTACCTCCTTAATGCAACAACTCATTTTAAGCCATTTGATGAAACTGCAGCACTTCTCTCTAGAGTAAGAATCACATTAGCCGATACCAGTTTCAATATGCCCATCGACTTTCCCCCCCAAGAAAAGAGAAGTTTTAAACCAGGTTTTGCCTTAATACTAAGAAAAAAAAAAAATAAATCTATTAAAAAGTATGCTGGTAAATATCAAACATTTCCCATGTCAGTAACAATCACCTCTTTAGTCAGGGGGAAATAAGAAAAGCACCCCTTTCTCTATTTACACATTATAATTGTATTCAATACTACTACTAACACTGTAAAACACATCTGCATCCATCAGTATTCAGCAATGCATTGACTACGCACAAAAGCAGGCTTTTTTTCTGAAGCAAGTGCTTTGCTGAATCAGGGCCTAAGTACCTTGACGTGACAAAAAGAACAGAAATACGCCTTTCTGATCTTTTCAAATTTAAAAATATAATGAGTATCCAGCTTGTGAAAGCATGCAGTTGCACTGCGCAGGCCTATTTCATAACTAACCAACACCCTACGGCTGACAACCTGAGACCCAAGGCTTAGCTATTATAGAAAATTGCATTCCTCCAAGTTCAATGAAAATTACACCACCCCACTTCTCCACTGAGGCGTTACAAGGAAACTCATTTGTTGGCCAGAAAAGCAAGTGGTCAAATTCACTCTAGAACAGCCAGGTGACT